GTTCGCTCTTGTTTTAAATCTATGGAAGTATGGAAGAGACTGGTTTCAGACAGATTGGTTGAGTTAGCTATTGATATTGATGCCCAAGAACTCTTATCTGACCCTGATGGAACAGTAGGTAAGATACATGTGCTGTAACATATTAAACACCAATTAATATAATAGGTAGAATGTGTCCTCAATGCTGTAAAGCTTTAGTAAGGTTTCAAGAGTTAGAAAAGAGCACTAAGGAGAGGATTAGCAATGCTATTGAAGTCATAATGCATGATGATAGATGGGCACATCTACAGTCTAATGGAGAGCATGATATTACTAATAATTCTGGAATGGATCATGATTTCAGTTGCAGTACTCCAAGCAGATCAAATAAGCGTTCAACTTCACAAGTGGAGTCACCAGATATATCTGTATGTTTTGCTTTAACTATCGCAGCTGTAATTATTACTATTGTATAGATTGTTGTCAGTAATGCTAAGAGACGAAAAGTGTACAAAGTAACACCAAGCCGTAAGGATGCTGTTAATGCATACGCTCGAAAAAGCAAGAGAAAAATAGCAACAGAATGTTTAGCTGATAAAAAATCAAGGCAGTACACTTTGTCGAGCATCAGTAGAACTATTGAAACCGAAGTTAAGAGGATGAGTAGCGTCAACTCCATTCTATGTAGTCAGTCACCAGATCATTTGAAGTTTTTTCATTGGGATATGATTTATAATGAATTACAAAGTAAAGCGCCTGTTCTTTTACAATTTCTCGTGTCTGCTACAAACACAAAAACCAAACGAAAGAATAGAATTGCTGTTATTTGTACCTGTGCTGCAATAATCTTAAAGTATCGTTATAGAAATTTGAATTTGCTTCAAAAGGTCTTATCCCTAATATTGTATTCTAGCCATTGTTCAAAGAAGGTATAATAATAGTTAATTTGAATTATTGAGATCTACCACTCCTCCTGGTCATCAATCATTGTCTGTTCTCTTTGATAAACCTTCATGGTTACGTAGAGCTAAGGTTAATCACAGGTTGGATGTTAATGGAGAAGAGAAATGGTTCATAGAAAATATTAGAGGGTATAGAGAAAATGAGTTTGCTGTTTTATATAATAATGAGGAACTATGTAAATTCACTACTGAGGAAATCAAGGAAGATTATTAAATGGTGATTTTTGGATTATGTAGTTTTTTCATTTACTTAATTTACACTGTTATGTGTCTGTAACTTTTACATGGTATTCTACTTTTAATTGCTTTTGTTTGTCGTAGTGTCATTACTACTCTTTATCCCACCTTCTTTCTCTCTACCATATTAAGGATTATTTAAAACATTTACTTATATTACTTAATAACATGTTATTAATTAGCCATTTTACATTAATTTTAATAACACAATATCATAAATCTTATGTAATTTTTATTTTGTTGGTAATTCATTAATCACTTCTTGCAATTACCCCTCACAGTGGTACTCTTTCCTAGACTTCTTCCTACTTGATGAGCATGCTCATACACACCCTCAGTTAGTGTGATCATCAATAGCAGGAATGGTTCAAGATCTGGGTATGTATACACTGTCATAGCTACTTTATCTAAAATGCAGTGTTCATTATCACTAAGATTGTCCGGTTTGTCAATTGGGCAAGCCATATATGATGTATCTAATAATAAGAAAGCATATACAGTCTAATTAATAGCATTGCAAATTAAAGCGCTTTATGGTAGTACTTAGCACAGTAACTGCAGATGGATGGTTAAGTTATCACTAACTGTGTGGCCTCAGTGAATAGTGGAGCCTCATTGATCAGTGACACAATTTAAGATTTTGAACCATTTCTAGTTACAATAATACATAAACTAATTACTTAAATACTTACTCAAGTTATAGAGACCCAAATATGAGCCCAAGTAGTCTAGTAGAGGAGCAAGAGGAATCTTTGATCTCGAAGGACTGTTAGGACACTGACAAGTGATGAAGGAATTATAAATTTTAAAATAAGTGACGTGACCCATAATTAGTCATTTAACCCTGAAGACAAAAGTGTTATTTTCTTCGCCAAAGTAAGTACAAATTGCTAAAAATTTATTTAGTGATTTTTCAACACCTTGACATGTCTTTTGATGTCTTTATAATTTCATTGTGTATATATTGGTATTTTAGGTTGGAAACCCTATCTATGTATTATTGGCCGCCTACATTAGATGCGCATAACTCTTGGTGTTAAGACAGCACATTACTTAACCACTTTTTGGATAGCATATGTCATCAACTATGCATTTTATTGCTTCTATTAAAAATGATATACCATTTTCACTTACACCACTAATAAACATTCTCAACCAATTGATATTATCTAATGTAAGTTGTCTTGAAGAGTCATTCTCCAAAAAGTTGTCACATTTTTCTGGTTCATAAAATAACTTTTAACTGCATCAAAATACTTTTTTGATTTACATTAACCAATGCCTTTTTTTCTAATGTTAAATTAGGCACATTTATATGCATGTCAACAGTATCAGCCACGGCTTACATTAGTTCACCAAGTAATTAACTTCTATCTTTTTGTTAGGATCTTCTTCAGTAAAACAGACTTTCTTGAATCGACTAATTTCTTCCAATTACGTTCAGCTTTTAATAATTTCCGTAGTTTGTTTAAATGATTTTAATGCCAAATATAGATGCTTCCTTGTGATGCCTCAAATTTTTGTCCATTGTTTCTCCTTCCAATATGATTGTAATCTCATCACTAAAAGGCACAAATAAGAATATTTGCAAATTATAAAAATCTTCTCTTTCCGCTTCATTTATAGGATTAAATTTCCTATGGTTTGGAAGGACTGGCTTTGATCGACCTTTGTATTCCCTGTTACATTTTCTTCTATTTTATCCAATTTGTACTTAGCAACAAATTTTTAAAGGATGCATCTTCCATGACGTTCGGTCTTGCTGAATAAAAGTCTTCAATTACAGATTAAAAATGTCATTTGAAGATCAATCCATTTTAGCTTAATATGAATGACTTATTTGCTGCTCTTCTTATGAGGCAAGTTCACGTTAATGTACTGTACAGTTACCCCTTTAACTTATAAACTTTCACCGAGAAGATCGCTAACTTCATATAGCCTTATTTTTTTGGCTTGAAGTAATTTTTGTCCGTTTTTCCAAAGCCTGCAGTACACTGTATAAATGAAGTGTGACATGCAGACTAAAATAAGTGTGCTGCAGCTGTCCAAAATAGCACACCAAAAAGGGTGTGTCTAGCACACTAGATATCAGGAAGTGAAATGGGACACTATTAACACACAAGATTCAATGCCATTTTTTTGATATATACAAAAAGCAATAAGTATACATGCATAAAATTGCAATTGTACAATAAGTGAAAATGAATGAAAGTATACATGTAATGAATGAAAGTATACATGTAATGAGTGAAATCACTGGACATACTGTAAGGATGCCATGTATTGATTAACAGAAGGGGGAACAGATTTATTAACAAAGCTCAGTAAGCAAGTTTCAAAAACATAAACAAATTTTGGCATCCACTTGTGTAGCAAATATTAAAGACAAAAAAGGAAGATATTAAAACTGAGACAATGTCCTTGCAATTTATTTCAAAAGTTGTACGCCTGCAATGGCTCTTAATAAGTACCAGTGAGAAGAATATAGGGTTCACTTTGTCCTTTGTCAGTAATTGCCTGTTGAACATCACAAGCCTCCTAGAAACAATATTAATAATAATGTTAATGATAATGACAATAATAATTATAATTGCCTATTTTTGTAAGAATAATAGTGTTTTATTGTGTGTGTGTGACGTTGTATTAGTAACATGGTAACGTTAATAAGTAGGATTCACCCCCCCAAACAAAATGGCTTCCACGACATTTGCAGCCTTGCTGTACCAGGAAAACGAGCTTCTGTGCTTAGCCGACTTTTTCGAGGAACTCATCTTGACCAGAGGACTCCATTGGTACAAATAGCATGGCTCTAAACATAGTCTAAGATGAAAACCAAAATTCGGCAAACTAGCCATTTTCTTCTGCTTTCTTTTTTCATCATCATCATCATCAAGGAATTTAGTTGGCGAGCTGTATCTCAATCTTGACTCATGCTAGAAGTATAATTCTTACACCACTCTACTCTAACAGTCTAAACCCTAAAACCATTCTCCAAGATAAGAAAAGGCTGTATCTGCTGTATCTGGCAAACTTACCTGCCATTGCCACTATGTTAATTATATAAGCATGTGCTCCAAAATTTGGGCATGGTTGTGCATGCTTAAATCTCAGAACTCGGACAAGCAATCAAATGCAAAATGAAAATCCTATTCTTGTGATGCAAATTTTACTCTACATTGCAAGGTGATTCAAAAGACTTACATAATAACATCAAAAGTACAATGTAGAGTAGAATTTGCTTTACGGGAGTAGGATTTTCACTTTGTATTTTTGTTGGTCGTTTGGAATCATACTCAATCTTGTTCTTTTAAATCTTTTATGTTCCTGTACTTTCTATTGGCCATAATAATAATAATAATAACAATAATAATAATAATAATAATATTGCATTTGTTCAGTCCCCTCAGACAGATTTGGAGATCACTAGGTGTCTTGTGTGGTAATCATGATAGAATTCATCGCCATGATGCCCTGAGGGACATTATTTATTCTGTTGCCTCTTCTGCAGCTTTGGCCCTGGTAAGGATGTTCCTTCTCTCATTCCCTCTAGAACCTCACATCCTGCAGATATCTATCTCCCCAGTTGGTGTCAAGGCAGACCTGTAGCTTTGGATGTTGCTGTTTCCTCTCCTTTCCAGTTCCTTACCATCAACTCTGCTGCTTCAATCCAGGGTCATACATCTACATGGAACACAGGAAAAGGTGCCTCCATCAGGCTGCCTGTATGTCAAATGTGGTCCTTTTCCTTCCTTTGTTGGTGAAAACTTTTGTTGGGTGGGGCTCGAATGCTATCTTCTTCTGTTCGTTGGTTCGTCTTCAAAAACAACGGACCTGGTCTGGCTCATTTAATCATCTTCTCAAGCGCTTTTCTGTATCCTTATGCTACAGCATGGATTTTAGGACCACTCCTTCACCCACACCTGCAGATGGGGTTCGTTGACTATTTCTCATTTCTCTCTTTCCTTTTCTATTTCTTTCTTGTTCGATTAGCTCTTTTTCTCCCCCTTTTTTCTCTTGTTTTGTTTGTTTATAGTATAATAATAATAATTAGTGTGTTGGCTGTTTCCTTTATTAGGGAGGTCACCAAGCTACTGCTCATCGGTTGGGGCAAAACCCAGCTTGTTCCATCTCCCACCTCTTTCAGAGGTTATCTGTCTTCTTGTGGAGGGGATATGCCACTTCCTGGGTCACTCGAGTCCCTGTTCTTCATTCCGAGGTAGATGGGGTTGTTTAAACTGTTTTAGTTTGTTTTGGGGGGTTTTTGGCTTTTTCTTTTTTTTGGTTTTTATACTAATAATGATAATAATAACAATAATAATAATAACAATAATAACATTCTTGTGGTTTTTTGTTTTGTTCTTTTTCTTGTTTTGGTTGGTTTATAATAGTAATAATAATGATAATAATAATAATAATAATAATAATAATAATAATAATAAAATGGCGGCAAGCAGCAAATACTGGGCTTTTAACAAGGCTAATAGTGTCTGTAAGAGCTGTTCTTGTGTTCAGAGCGGGTGCCCTTGCTCCTCTTGTCAGCCTGAGCGTTCTGGCTCCAGCCATGACGGTGGTAATGTCCTTAATGACCCCTCACGCAGCGCGTCTTCTGAGACACGTAGACCTTAGTCTGTGGTTCCTAGTTAGCCTGCAGCCTCATCCTCTCCCTTCCTTGTCCACTATCGCTGCCTTCACTGGATATTTGTCGCTTTAGTGTTTCTGTTCTCTTCCATGTCCCCAAAGGCGCTCCAACAGCTGGTCGGGAGTTCTCTCCTTCGCCATTGAGATGGTCTTTGCACGTCCCTTTGGACATAGAAGTCTGGCTCAAGCTCTTCATGTTGCCAAAGTGCATCTTATTTCTTCCTCCATTTTGTCAGTGTTGTAAAGAGAAGGACCTAGTTGATATTGTTAAAGAAAGACTCTGGCTGCCAGAGTGGTGACTATCTGCCTCTCTGGGCACTAGTTTCTTCAAAAGCCTCGCTGCATCCTCTTCTACTTCTAACGTATGTAGGGCCATTGGTGCTACTGAATCAGGTCTTTATCAAAAGGCTATCCAGGCTCTCAGTTCATGTGGCTTGTCACTCCCTCTAAGGAATCTCGGGATGCTCTGCTCCTTAAACATCCCCAGTGCCATCCCCATTCTCTTCCATACCCCTCCTTACTACCGATCCATTCCTCTTCCTCTCCCATCTTTGTCCTTCTGTCTCTTCCCGTCCCTCCTCCTTCCCTTCTTGTCCTTCTACCCCTATTCCTCTACTCATTCTTCCTCTCCCTCTCCATGTCCCCCTCCTTTCTCTTTCTCTCGCTCTTCTTTTCTCTCTCTTCTTTCCATCCTCCCTTCAATTTTACCGACCACCATTCTCACGTCAATCAAATCATTTTTAACTGATACTGCTCCTGGCCTATCTGGTCTAAGAGCTTCGCATTTTAAGGTGGCTGTTTGCTGCCCCTCCCCAAGTAGGGCTCAAGCCACCCTCCTCCAACTTTTTCACCTAATGAATTTTCTCAGCTCTGGAGCCTGCCCCCCTCCCGTAGTTCCTCATCTCTGTGGAGCCACCTTCCTTGCTTCTCTGAAGAAGCCTGTTGGCCTTCAACCCATGCTATCAGGGAAGACATTCGGCATTTAGTCTCGAAGTGCCTCGTCTCCTTCGTTATGCCCCTTGTCTGCCCCCTTCAGCTGGGCGTAGGTGTGTCTAATGGGGCTAAATCCTTGATCCACTTGATTAAGTTCCTTCTATCCAACCCTTCTGTCCCCCATCTTATTCAGTGTTGTCTCCTGGACTTCTCAAATTCCTTCAACATCATTGATAGATCAACTCTTTTCCGAGAAGTTCGTTATCGCTTCCCTTCTTTGTCCCCGTGGTTGGAGTGCTACTACGGAGCTCAGCCTAACCTTCATTTTGGTGAGTACACTCTGTTGAGCTGTGCAGGGGTTCAGCAGGGAGACTTTTTGGGTCCCCTGGCCTTTTCCATTCTGTTCCACCCTATTATTGAAAGGGTTCAGTGTGAGGTCCCTGGTCTCTTGCTTAATGCATGGTATTTGGATGATGGCATCCTCACTGGTCCTCCTGCTTATCTCCTGTCTGCCCTTAATATTATTGAAGACATGTGTCCTCCCTGTGGTCTTTATCTCAATCACTCAAAGTCTCCCCTACCTTCCCTCTGGGGTGGATTCTTCTAAGTAATCCTTACCATCTGATATCCCTGTGACCTCGCTTGGTTTTGTTCTATTGGGCTCCCTAATTGGCCCTCCTGAGTTTTGTGTGAGTTTATTTCGAAACGACTTGGTAAAACCAGAGTCTGTCAAATTCCTTTCTTTTTGGAGGACTCTCAGTTCAAATATTCACTTCTTAGGTCATTTCCTAGTCTCAAAAAGGTTTCTTGTGCTCCAAGGACTACAGCCTCTGACATTATGGCATTTGCCATTCAAGACTTTGATAATTTCACGTTCCACTGCATTTCTGACTTAGTAGGTGGAACTTTTTCCCACTGGTCCCATATAAATGCAACCCTTTCACCTTGGTTAGGCGGTATTGGGATCCAACTTGCCTATGCCCATTTTGGAGCTACATTCCTTTCCTTAGTTTATGCCTGCTCGTCACTAATCTTTTCTCTGTCGAGTCAAGTTGTTCCATCCTCTTATACATCTGCAGCCTTTAGTTTGTTCCACTCTGTGACAGGCCTCACTGATATTTCTTCATTTTACGATTTGAACTGTCCAGTCTCGCTGAAATCACTTTCTCAGCTTGTTGATAAATCGGCTTTTGATAGTCTCCTCTCTGTGCCCCCTAGCAAACGTTCTAGGGCTCTACTCCTTTCCACTAGCATTCCTCATGCTTGTGATTGGTTAGGGTTCCTTCCATCATGAAATCTGGGTCTGCACTTTCTTGATGCAGAATGACACCTTTGCCTCAGCTGTCTTTAATGGCTCTCTGGTTTGTTCTAGTTCTTTAATTGAAGAAATTTTAGGCTTTCCTCCACACCTGTCTCTCCCCCTAAATTCTTGCCGTCCACATTTAGCTCTTCATCCTGCTAGGCCTGACTGGTCATTTCATGAGGACATTGAGCTTCGTTTTGCAATATCTCAGCGTTCTCTTCCTTGTTGTATAGACGAGGCTCGCTTCTCTACATTACTGTCTACAGCCACTACTACTAAAGCCAAAGCCCTTGCCTTCTCCTCTTCCTTGCCACATGCTGGTGACTAGCTGCAGGTTGTCCCCTTGAAACATCTGGGCCTCAATTTCCTTGACCAAGAGTATTGCTTCTGCTCAAAGTATTGCTTAGGTGATCCTCTCAGTGATGGTCCCTGTCCCTGCTTGGTCTGTCCCTCTTCTTGTGACTCTCTTGGTGATCATCAGATTAGATGTCGTGGCAATAAAGACTTATTTCGTAGGCATGATTCGCTTCGTGACATCATCTTCTCATCAGCTCAATCTGCTGCTCTGGCTCCGAGGAAGGAGGTCCCTGGTCTCATCCCTGGGTCATGCAGTCGCCCCACAAATATATTTCTTCCATCTTATACAGGTGGACGACCTGCTATCCTGGATGTGACTGATTTCTTCTCTTTAGGCTCAGACAGTTGTTGATGCTGCTGTAACCCCTGGTGCTGCTCTTGCTGTGGCTGATACTTAAAAACAGGCTTTGCATGCTGCTGCCTGCTCCAGAGTTGGTGTTTCCTAATTTCCCTGGGCAGTGGAAGCTCTTGGAGGCTGGAGTGGGTCAGCTATTACTATTATTTCTTCTATTCGTTGCGTGATGGGTCAAAGGCTTTGTTGTGACTCTGCTCTTGTCCAACAACACCTCTTCCAGCGGCTCTCTGTTGCTCTTGGAGAGGGAATGCTTCCATGTGGGCTACCTGCCATCCCCTTATTCCAGCTTCTGTGGATGGTGTTATTTAAGTGGACTGTTTTGTAACTGTATATTAATATTAGTAATAATTATTTAGAATAGCGTATGTCTTATGTGTAGGCCTTTGTTTTTTCTGTTGCATAATAATAATAATAATAAGGTACGTTCTAAGATCCCCCTCCTCTCCAACTGGGTCAAATGCTGCTGTGTGGTCCAGCCTAATTTACTCTTTGGAGATTATATAATCCCTAGCTGCTGTGGTGTCAAGCAGGGGGATCCCTTGGGTCCCCTGCTTTTCTCTTTTAGTTCTGCAGCCTGTTGTTGAGAGGTTAGAGAGTGAGGTTCCTGGTCTTGTTCTCTACAGCTGGGATTTGGATGATGGGGTTTTCTGTGGAACATCTGATGACCTTTTAGCAGCTCTTACTATCATTGAAGATTTGGGTCCCTCTTCTGGTTTGCATCTCAACCTCTATAAGTCACTTTTCTATCTACCCCGACTTGCGAGTAATCCTCACCCACTCCCTAGTGCTATTCCCTTTACATCTGTTGGTTTTGTTCTGCTTTGAGCTCCAGTTGGCCCCCCTGAATTCTGTCAGTCCTTAGTCAATGAGAGGGTTGAATGAATTTAACCTTCCCTGAAACTTCTTCCTTTGCTAGAGGATTCTCAGTCACAGTTCTCCCTTCTCCGTTCCTGCTTTTGCCTGCCAAAACTGCTGTGTGGCCTCGGTACCACTTTCCCTCATGTTCTGTTTTCTGTAACAATGGATTTTGATGCTATCATTTTTGACTCTCTGTCTGAGCTTGTTGGGGGTTCCCTCACATCTTGGCCATGCTGTAATGCTGCCTTGCCCATCAAGTTAGGTAGTGTTGGTCTCCGTTTGGCATCTCAGCATTCATCTGCCATCTTCCTTGCTTCAGTCACTGCTTGTTGCCTCCTTATATTGTCCTTATCTGGTTAAGAGATGCTTCCATCTTATGTATCTGCTGCTCTTGTAGCCTTTGCTTCTTCTGCTGAACTCTCTGACCGGACGTCTATCTCTGAGCTTGACCTGCCAATATCTCAAAAGTCTCTGTCACGTCTCAAAGTTAAGGTCAATCATAATGCTCTTCTTTCATCGACTCAGGACATTTGTTCTAAGGCCCTTCTCCTGTCTAGCAGTATTCCTCATGCTAGGGATTGGATAGGGGTTCTTTCTTCCCCAAACCTAGGCCATCATCTTTTAGACTGTGAATTTTTGGCTTTGTCTAAAACAATGGTTGGGGGTTTAGCTTCCTAGTGACACCATGGATTGTCCCTTTTGCTCTCATCCTGCTCATGCTTTTGGTGATCATGCTTTCGCATGTGGAGGCAGCACTAAGAGAGTTTCTAGGCATACTGCTTTACGGGATGCTATTTTTTCTGCAGCCCAAGATGCTGCCCTCTTCCCTCGCAGGGAGATCCCGTACCTTGTGCCTGATTCTTTCAACCGTCCAGATGTCTTCCTTCCGTCCTGGCTCCATGGTCACCCTGCTGCTTAGGACGTTACGGTTGTGTCCCCTCTACAAGCTCAAGTTATTCAGCAAGCTGCTTCTGTTCAGGGGTCTGCTTTGTCTGTGGCTCCACAGAGAAAGCATTCTGTCCATCTTGCTAACTGCCAAAAGTGGGGGTTTCCTTTAATCCCATGGCTGTGGAGTCTTTGGGTGGTTGGAGTCGGGATGCCCTCAGTACCATTCGGATGATTGGTCACCACCTAGGCACCAGGATTGGTCTTCCTCCCCAGGATGTTACTCGCCATCTCATCCAGAAGCTTTGGCATTTTAATGCTCAGATGTGGCTGAATAGGACTCTACCTGTCCTGTCCTTTGTGGATGGGCTGATTTAACTTTTCTCTCTCATGTCTTTGTCTCTCGTCATTATTTTTCTTTTTGTTTCTTCTATCCGTTCCATTTTTGTGATTTTGTGTTTCTGCCCCTTTTCCCACATCTCTCTTTCTCTCTTTCATAATAATAGAAATAATAATAATAATAATAATAATAATAACAATAATACAAAATGATAATGATAATGATAATAGTAATAATAACAATAATAATTTTAAAGTTAACAGTACAAAACAGAATTACATCACCCAATCCAATGGAAGAGGAAGGACAGAGAACTGGGACAACCACATCTGGGCATTAAAGTGCCAGATGGTTATTGAGAGGAGCTGAAAGAGTTGCTGGGAGACTTCAGATGGTAGAAGTCCTTGGAGGGAGGCAAGATTGTGGCTATGGGAAAGAAGGAAGGAAAGAGCATCCACACTCCACCCTCCCAAAGACTGCAGCAAGGGAAATCAAGTGAACACCCACTGACCTACAATTATCAAAATGGACTTTCATTTTCCTGACATTAGCAACAGTAAGAGCATGCCCTTGGATGGAAGCAGCCTGAGGAAGTACTTGGCATTAGAGGAAAGAAATGACAGTAACATCAACTGCTGCAGGACAACCATGAAACCAGACATGGAGATAGATATCAGTTGGGCGGCTGACAGAGTTAAGTAGGAGAGATAGGACTCCTCTACGAGGGGAAAGTGCAGCAGACTGGGCCACTGAGAAAATGACATCTCTCAAGGCATTGTGCCTGACTGACCTATCACCATTACCACCACAGGCCAAGGCATGATCCCCTAAAGGATCAGCTGGATGAGAACAAATAGGACAGGGAAAGAAATTGCTAGACGGACGAACTTCAAGCCAGTAACTAAGGCAGAGACAAAACTGACTATTCAGGAGTTTTAAACCAAGGTTGGTAGATGGAAGAACAGTGAGCCAGTCACCAGCATGTGGTAGGCTTCAAGAGAGAAGAGCTCAGATCAGTTGAACTATCTAAAAGATGGTTAAAGTTAAATTGATCTACAGCTCGGCTTAAGGACTTCTGTCAGATAGAGAAATCAAAGGAGCTAAAGGAAGACATGTCGACAACCCTAAGCATTAACCAAAAAGCTGAAAAGCAGAGCTGATGTAGGAAGGAAGAACTACTTGATCCAATATCTCCATGATGATGGAGGAGCTGGGAAAGACAGATGCAAGGAAAATAGAGGCAGAGTGATGACAGGCTTGGCAAAGACCCACTCCTCAAAGTCTGATAGGAAGAGCAGCTTTGGAACGGGACCAGTCAGGAAGAGCCCCTCCCACTATATTCAAAAGACAGTTAAACAGAACAGAAACAAACTCACTTAAACAGGTAGAAGAATATCTGGAGGAGTGGTTCCAAGAATACAAAGGAGCTTGGGAAGACTTATGCAGGAGCGCAGCTGAGAGTACTCCAATTGAGAATATTCCATAAGAGAGAGGAGACTGATAGAATTT